ATGTCTCATACAGTAGATTAAGTTTAGGGCATCTGTTGACACATATGTGGATACATGGCAAGAACAAGATTCTCAATGGGAAATATGTGAGAGCTTAGTAAAATGGGAGGGTTCTTACGGTTTATAAAAACCCTGACAAGGTCTGCCTCAACACAAAGAGGATGATTCTTGTCTCCTTTTTAGGGGACAATCTGCTCAATATAATTTAATCCACTTGTTGTACAACCTAAAAAAAAATGAATTTTACACAATTGAAGTGGTAATTATTTTATTTATTTTACAAGTGATTTCTTACATTGAAGCTAGTCCTTTCAAGTCCCAGTCTTCCATAGCAACCTTAATTCTGTAAAGCCTTCTTAAAATCAGCTAGCTTAGCTACTCTTACTTACATTAATCTGAATGTTTCTTTAAAAAAAGTACAACAAGCTGATGTTACCAGAGATGTGTGCATGTTAAGTTAAACATTGTCAACCTCAACCAGAATTAGTCTTTTTGTGACCGTGAATGCTGGTTATTTGTTGTGTCTGCAGCCCCCTGCTACTAACACAGCTCCAGATAAAGGCTACTGCCAATATGCTCAAAGGTTCTGCAACCTGGATGTAAACAAGCACACATTACAGATGAGCTATTGTAGTGTGGCATTGGCTGGCAGCATTTAGAGCTAAAAAAAAAAATTGATGTAAAGTTGTATCTAAGCTGTGTCAGGCTGAACTGGCATTTAACTGTTCGCTCAGAGCATAACCAGCGCAGGGATGTGTAGCTGTGTGAAATGGAATATAATGTACTCACTTTTGAGTGCTTTCTGAGTGTTTTTTTTACCTTCAGATGTGTCATTTTATTCAGAATTTCAATTGTCATTCATAAGACTAGAGAAGTAGTCACTTTAAAACACCCCTAGTCATTATTCACATTTAAATGATAAATGGACCTGAACTTACATAGTACTTTTTTAGTCTCTCCATCTACTCACAGCACTCTTGAAACACTTGTTACATTCACCTATCCACATGCTGGTGATTGAGACTGCTGCAGAAGGGGACCATTAGTATGAACTTATTTCATCCAGATACATTTACACTGTGCTGACTTACTCATCAGGAGTTTTTCTGAGTTAAGTGTCTTGCCCAAGGACACGTAAGCATGTGACTGCTGGAGCTGGGATCATGCTGCCAACCTTCAGATTGAGAGACAATCTACTCTCCTGTTGTTGTGAAGTAAACAAAGGTAACCAAGGCCACACGATTCAGCACCTCACCTGATAAAGTTTTTTTGCTCCATTAAGGTCAGTGTCCTTTTGTAGATTTCTTGAGTGTTCCCTGCTGTTTTTGTCCATATCTCTTTTCCTGTGAGAACAAATCAAAATGCCTATGACTACCTAGATTAGTGTCTATAGCTACAGTGTGCTCTCAATTATTAATGAACTGTTGCTATGAAGAATTGGCTAATCACAATCAAGTATTTCACACAGCACGGTCACAGGTAAAGTTAATATATCGTAACTGAAGGCCACCTTCTCACATACATTCAGGAGAAGTTTGATGAAGCTTAAGTTAGTGCACCGATTACTTTGTACCAACTTGTTGGTTGAAAAACTGTTTGGGTTATTTTGGATTCAGGAAGGACATGATGCAAACACAGGTATTATATCAACATGATGAACAGTGGGTGGAGAGAAAAGGTGAGTTGTAATAAATATGCACTCTTACCCATCAATCTATCACACTGTATGTTCTTATCCCTACATTGTTGTATGCTTTTCCATGTTCTTCTTATGCTGTAAAGGCTTATTAACCATGAAGGCAATTGGAACAGAAGTTAAAGATTGAGTAGCCTCATTTGACAAATCATCATCAGGGCAAATTTTTCATTCTCCTCAAGGTTTGTTCCCCATTGTCTCATCTACTCAGGCCACTGAAGTGTGTCACAAAAATCAGCCCTTAAAACTGTTCGCCACATTTGTTTTATGCTGTATCTGTTGTAGCTGGGCCTTCTTAGGCCCGTACTGTGTTGTCTGAAACATGCATGATATCAGGTAACACTTGTACCTTGGCGATGGACTGCAGGTTAGTTTTCTCCCATCAGCAGTTCTGTGGTCATGCTCGGGAAGCTGTTGTTGTGTCTCCTGCAAATGATTTGATAATGGCAGAAGCAGCTGGGATGTAAATAATTATCCCCCTACTGCCAAAAACAGCAGTTATATGACTTGGCAGTCATCAGACTCATCAAATCAGGGGATAGCATCACAGATGTTCAGCTGAACTGAACCCCAAGCACCTTAATTAACATGCCCGCTTTGCAGCTACATCCTCACACCCCTGTGAATTTAGAGTCACTCAGAAATGGTACTTTACAAATGTTTCGGGTGATTAGTGAGTCAAGTTTTTAACCTTTATCATTTCTATAATCAGTGGACTTCTTTCAAAGTTACAGGCCAATGTAAGACTCTGTGTTTGTTACGCTGTGGAGATATCAAGAAGTCAGTTTTCAGAAGTGGACGGCTGAAGATATCCGGCTCTTACTCACAGGTAAAGGGAAACAGAAATACATTAAATATTACACACTTGCAGAAATGTTTGACCGGATAAAATAATAAGTGGAGGACATTTTCACTCTTTACCCTGTTTTTTTTTTTTTTTTTTTCAGGTCAAAAGATAACTTTGGAGTGATTCAACTTAACTTTAAATGTTTGAAATTTGCATTATAAAGAGTGTCCAAAACCACACAACAGAGGTTTGGAAATCAATCAATTAATTTTATTTATATAGCGCCAAATTACATCATTATTCTGAGACGCTTTTCAAAAGAGCAGGTCTAGACCTAACTCACTGTTTGATGTATTACAAAGACCCAACCTGGAGATGGGAATAGATTTGACCCATCTCGAACCAACATGAGTGAAGGACTTTGCAGTATTTAGCAAGTTAGGGGGGTCCCTTTAGCAGGCAGAGACCTTGAGCAGGACCGGACTCATGTTAGACAGCCACCTGCTGCCACTGGGTTGGGTAAGAGATAAAGAGAGAGAGCGAGGGAGCAAGGGAGTCGGAAGAAGGGAAGGAGGGAGAGAGAGAGAGAGGGAGACAACAGCAACAGCAGCAGCTCATACAGAGTCCTGGTTACAGAGCCAATAATAATGGAAGAATAAGAGTTTGTTTACAGGATCAGGAAATAAGTAATAATGGACTGATGTTAAACTAATTTAAGGTGATTAAAGTCAGCAGGCCTAGTGGTAGTTAACTCTAGCATTATGTTATTAATTTTGGTGAGGCTGAGTCCACAGCAGCTGACCGTCTGTAACATCAGTCCAGAGGAACCTAAGAGACAAGGGAGCTTAGGGACACTCAGAGAGATTTGGTTAGTTACTTTAATGGGACATGAAGATCTAAAGGCAAGAGAGGGACAGCCAGGCAGTCTACACCTATAGCAGCATACCTAAGAGCTAGTTCGAGCCAGCCCTAACTATAATCTTTATCAAAGTGGAAAGTTTTAAGTCTACCCTTAAAGGAAAAGAGGGTGTCTGGCTTCCAAACTTCAAACAGTAAATGATTTAAGAGGCTAACTGCCTCTAGAGATGGATTTTGTATTCTATCATCAGATCAATTCAACGTTTTGGAGAATTAACAATTACCACAACTGGCAGACATTATGAAACTGGAACATTTTCCTAATAGCAACACATTTGAAATGTCCAGATGTCTTATCCTCTGCTGTAAAACCCTCTGTCTGAAACCTTGGTTTCCAAATGGGCCAGGCCCAAAGTCTGGAGCAGCATGTAAATGGACTGGTTTGCTCATCTTTGTACCATCTGAGAAATAAATCCAAGCTCAGACCCATGGTGTCTCGGAATAAGCTTGAGATGATTGTTCATGCTTTTATCTCATCTCATCTGGACTATTGCAATTCTTTGTTTACCTGTTTAAATACATCTTCTTCGAGGCCTGCAAATGGTTCAAAATGCTGCAGCAAATGGTCCCACGTCACACCCATGCTCAGGTCTTTACACTGGCTCCCCATTCAATTCAGAATCCAATTTAAATTATTTGATCTTGTATTCAGAGCTTTGCATGGACAAGCTCCAGCTTATATCAGAGACCTGCTGAAGCCTTAAAGTCCCAGCAGGACTCTAAGATCCTCTGATCAGGGTTTGCTGGTTGTCTCCTGGACCAGACTATGAACTAAAGGAGACTGAGCGTTTGAGTTTTTTGCTCTAAAACTTTGGAACTCTCTCCCTCGAGAACAAAGAACTGTGGACACTGTGGATAATTTTAAAAAGCAGTTGAAAAACCATTTGTTTACGCTTGTTTTTGTTATTATTATTATTTAGTGTAAATCATGCCCACTGGTTTGAATACAGACAAAAAGACGGATCATAAATTTGTTGTATACCTCAAGGTATTAAAGGCCTCCAGACATGAAACAAAAAATACAATTATTCGAGGTCAGGCTTCTCTGCAGGCTGGGGAAAAAAAACTTCTATCTGCAGGATATTAAGTTTGGAGTTTAGAAGGTTGAAGCAGCTGCTCCCCTTGCAAAAAGAGAAGTCAGCTGAGGTTATTTAGAAACCTGGAAAAATGTGCAACTTTTAAAGGAGCTTCCAGTCTGACCTACTTGGAGGAGTTTGATGTTGTAAGTACATGAGCTATACTTTATGAAAGTTTCCATATCACTTATGCCAGAGACCACTGAAACAAGGCAACAGATTACATTCAACAGATGATCTGGTGACCTTTGTCTCCACAGATCTTTGCATGTGTAACAACTTTGATTTAAATTCTAACAATAAACTTTTTTGTTATATAGAAACTGAGATTATGATGAAAAAACCTAATATGAAGCTCAAAGTCAGAAAGAGCCATCAAATAAGAGGAAAGGTTTTGACTTGCCATTTTCAAAGGTCACTTGTACCCGAACAAAAAGCACAAGAGCTTCTGTCCCTAAAAGCCAAAAGTCCCTCCTTACCCAATGAGAATCAGTCATTACTAACAACAAAACACATTTGAGTCCAGACACTGAGGGTCACTTTAATTGGAGATGTTCATTTAAACATGTCACCACCCAAAAAATCAGTCAAGTTACTTAAAGATTTACAAGCCAGTAGGTGACCAAATTAAGCGGGATTTTCTTTTTCCAGATCTACAAAGACCTTACATATTGTGAGAGGTTGTACCTACATGTTCATGATTACACAAACTGTGCTCCTTAAGGGTTTATATGCGCAAGTGTTACATTCATCAGCACGACTGTGAACTACAGAGGAACCCATTCAGTTCCTTAATTGATGAGCAGCCTCCTTCACTTTTTTCTTTAGGTTTCCATCCAATTATTATTAAGGGATAAAGAGAAGAGGAAGACCTGTTAGTGATGAGGAGAAGGTAATTAGCAGGAGCAGCAGCAAACAATTAAAGTGATGAGAACGGGGGTATAATTCTTGAGAATTATCCATGTTAACTTGAAGGTCCATGTCTGTTTCTTTAAACCATTTAAAATGTGCCATCAAGTATGTGTGATTGTTTGGAGATAACCTTGGCTACCAGTCAGTATTCAACATGTGTTTGATAATTCACAAGTTGCATTCCCATCACTGTATCTGACTGTGAATTCAAAACATAAAGAAACACTGTATGGTGTATCAATTCTGTATGATGCTAGTATTTCCCTATATAAGAGAGCATGGAATAGTTCGGGTTATGAACATTGTCAAAAGACTGTGGCAGTAATGGTTTTAACACAGAAGAAGTACAAATCTTTCATCTTTGGACAAATTGAAAAGATATGTGTCCAGGGCACAAACAGAGGACATAAATCAGGAGTATTATACAACATGTGTCAATGGTTCATTCAGATTTAGGATTGAGGATAAATAAAGCAATACTTAACAATCCCAAAGAAAAATCCACTTAAGTTTCAAACTGAGTCACATTCAGTCCAGCCATATATAAGTCTACTCAGCCTTACGACCAGGAAGAGAATATGTGGCATCTCTGTCTTGACCCCATCCCTCCCGAAAAAATAAAATTGAATGTTTTTTTAAAGAATCTGAAATCATATGAGGCCATCTTGTGGCTGATATCCTGTGACCAATTCAACACAGTAACACGAGTGGGGAATAGACCATCTAATGATGAAATGAGATAGAAAGGGCGTCACTGAGACCATGTCAACCACCTGTTAGGTAAAAGGGTAATATTATCATCAGCCTTGTACTAACCAGACTTTGCATCAAGCTATCGGAAAAGTCCAGAAGAAATTGCAAAATGAAATGCTTTTGCCCACTTACTCTCATATTAAAGTTTGAATATGTATTTTTTTATACAGCAAACAAACCTCAAAAATACCAAAACAGGAATGTCAGCATATACACTCTTGACATTAATGTTTGAATTAAAAGCAAGAACTTACCTGGATAATGTGAATCGTGGATCCTACATACCAATGCAAAGGTGAATTGCAGTTTTTTTTTTTTCAAGTTAGGCAGAACAGATGCCCAGAGGAGGACCAGTTGGAGATCTTGGCTGATTATAATGGCTTATTGTTTTATTCTACAGACAGGAAATAAAATGAATCAATTAAAAAGTTTGCTTGTCTTCCATGCATTCATGCCATAAATGTTGCCCCTTTCTCTCCAATTACACATCAGCATGGGAGACTATAAGGGACAGATTTGAGCACTAGATTTAAATTTAAAACCAATTTCTCAAAGAACTTTAATAACTGCACTGGCTTCAAAATGCTCTTTATTGTGGTCTTGTCTTTTTTCCATAAACAGACAGATCAAATAAGAAAAAACTGACATCCCCATACACTTCGGCTATTACATTCAATCTTACACATTTGCATGACTGACATGGGGGTGTCTATTGAGAACCAGATCATGCAGTTGTCACAGAGTTTTCAGGGCCATTCATGTGTGACTTGTAGGAACTCATTTGTGTGTGTTATTTGTCAAACAGCGCAGAGGCAACTGTGACAACCCTGCTGATTATCCTGGTACAACGTTTCTAATCAGCATTTTATTATCTCCAGAAAAGATGGAATTGCATGACTGGGCAACTAAATTTTCATCCCATCCTCTGATATCCTGGAATACAAGGTGAAAATTAAACGTGCTTTTTCATCATTTTAATCTTCACAAACAAGCATGCTGCTACAGCTCAGTGAAGACACAGCTCTGTGAAGATAAGCATTATCTAGAGTTCAGAATCAAAAGAGACAGTTATAATATCTCAACTCAGCTTTAATCAGTTGAATCCAAGTTGAGTCAGTGCAGGAAGGGTTCCTGACCAGTGTCACAAGGCTTGTTAAAGTTAATGTGGGATGGAGAGTAAGAAAGAAAGAAAGAGATTAACTTAGTTTTACTTTAAATTGTCAGAATTTGTCTGTCAAACAATTCACACTTATAATTGCTATTTATCTTAGTTTAGGATCACAGCAATGAATAATCATCGGTCTCGCAAAGACAAAAGCATCCATGATAGTAGTTTATTAAGTGACTGCCAGATGAAGATTCAAGTATTCCTCAGCTCTGATATCAAGCTGATCAAATGTACGGCTCAAAAATGTACTGTGCAAAGTTTAGCGCTTGTCTTTGCATCTAAACGCCTGTGTACAATTTTAAAAATGTACACCTTCATGAATGATGCTGATGTTGCATGAAAGATATTCCTACTTGGTAAGCATCTTCAGGTTATTTTCAGTCACAATGTGTGAACCAGGGTGGGGCAGTATGCAGAAAAGATATCATGTGTTGGTAAAAGCTGCCATCTTGTGGAGTTGAGGTGATAAAACAGCTTGTGTTGTTTGGCCACATACATCCCACTGGTCATATCCAAATCAAACTATAGTCAGAATTTTCATAAAGTTGGCATGTTACGATAAAAAATCATGTTGCCATGCTCATCTTGGCCTTCAGTTCCTTTGACGAAAAAAAACAAAATCTAGAGGCTTCTGGTTCTGTTTGTTACAATGCAGTGGTTCTTTCTTGTGGTGCACTATAGCTTCCCTCATGACAATACAATGAAGAGAGAGGACAGATTTTCCTATTACTATCAGGGAATTTTCATAATATCCTATTTCCATGAAGGCAAACAAGAGTGTTTGCTGAAGAGTGAACTGCACAGTTTTGCCCTCAATTGCTTTAAAGTTGAATCCAAAAACAAGTTCATGCTAGTTTTAAGCTTTGTCATAAACCTTGGTATGGAAATGTATAATTCATGTAAAACTGGGAAGAAAAGCAAATGTGGCACAGCTCAACATTCATAAAAGGGATGCTTTAACATGGCTTACATGTACATTTCTATCCTCTACTCCACTCCGATGCTGTGAAAAAGGGATATTCCGGTGTAAAATTAAGTTAGGGTCAAACACACTGTAACACCGAGTTAGACAACCCCTCGAGAAATGAATGTTGCCGACCGCTTCCTTCTCTAGTAATACCAACTTTAGTAATGACTGCAGATAGCTATGCAGAGACCCATGCGCTCAACCAAAACGCCACTCAATGGCCACAAATAATGTTCAGAACAGCAGCTAATTTTATCAACAGTACATAGAGGGTCCTAGCACATAGTACTAGCCACCAAACATCTTTTTAGTTTTGCCTGATTTCTTGAACAAAGAGACTAAACACAACTCACCCACTCTCTTCCAGCAGCCGCTTGTTTGTACGGCGACTTCCAGTCGAGTCCATCGACTACAGCGGGGTGATGCAGCTCAAGGAAGAACAACAGAATATCCTTTAAAGTTGCATGATGTATCCTGACTAGAAGCTTTTAAAGTGCCTATTATTGGCTTGGCCGGACTTCAAATTAGGGTTCAACTTTTTACTGTCAGGTTGATAAAGATATGAAAAATAATGCCATCGATCCCACACAAGGTGTCAGGTTTTCAAAGATACACAAGTAACTTTTGACCGTTTTAGGCTGATGGGCGTTTACTTACCGGAAGTCTATGAGTACCCACCCAATTGTTCTTTAAATAAACGAATTTAAAATGTATTTGAAATCTCTTAAAACGTTTACTGGTTTAAAGGAACAAAAGTTATATGATAACTTAAAGAATCTTCCCACTGATATGAACAGCTAAAAATGTTCTTAAAAAAGGAAGAAAACCCTTGTAAAGTTTTGCATAGCATAAACTATTTTATTTATTTTAAGTGACTTTTATGTTTCTGTTTGCTTGTTTTTCTTCACTATCTCCGTTATATTTCCCGCTGATATATTATTTTAATATTGGAATTACTGTATTGAACTAATTCTGCTATGTTTGTAATTGTAATTTTGTTGACTCTGTATAAAGCTTTAAAAAAAAGAAGAGTATCCGCCCATCTGCGTTTGCGCCTGCGCACTAACTGCTGCTCTGTTGTACGTTTACAGTGGCGAGAATGGCTCCTCCGAGCGAGGCGATCGTAGAGTGGCAGACCAGTCAAATTATCAAATATCTGCTTGCGGACGACGATGAAATTGAAGAACGTAGATCCCATGATGATATGATAGAGGCGGACGGTCCCGGCGGTAAGTGTATTTCTTCATTTGTATTAATTTTTTTTCACACAATGAATGACTGAAAGGTAAAGTGTTATCTGTTGAGTCAGGGAGGTTGCATCATTGGCTACAGTACAGTAGCTTTCATTTTCTCATCGGAAATGGGGTTAAAATTAAAAAGTGGGAATTCATTTTCAAATGTCGTTAAAGCAACAATTAAATAGCATTGTATAATCACATAAATAACACAGATATGGTTTAGTATTTGTCCACTGACCAGCATATGTAGTCCAGTGCCTCTGCTTATGCAACCTTTAAACGGTGAACCTTTAACCTGTAAACCCTCTTTATCTCAGCACCTTCAGTCTGATCCTGATGTTATTAACAGGCTAGGTAGGCTGAGGGACCCCACTGTGTTTACCGTAGAAGGTATCTTTGAGTACAGAAATAACAGTGACTATCATTAGGTTTCACATCCTCTGTGCTTCTGTGTTTTTATTTTCAGATGATTTTGATCCGGTTATAATAGCTGATAAACTAAGAAGTGTGGGTGATGCCCTGAGTGAAGACTACAGGTTTAAAGCCGCAATGACTGAACTGAAGAAAGCAGCAGCACAAGAGGTATTCATACACATATGCAAATATGTTTGTCCTGTTTTCATGTTTGTAGTATTTTATGGGATCACAGGGACAGCTTTCTTTACTTTCTGCATGTTGTGGATGTAAACCCATTTGCACAATAACATCCTGAATCGACTGGATTTTGAAATCTTCAGCTGAGCATCTTATACATTGAATTTTATAAACAGGTTTATGTATATTTTCATAACGAATTGTATGAATACCAGGATAAGAAGCTGTGGCAGACCTCTCATCCACACTGTTTTTGTGTTTGTAGGGGTGATTATATTATAGGTAATGTTAGTCTAGGTAAAATGATTGATGTTAAAGTTTGGAGATTGAATATTGTTTCAATTTCCTGTTGTCTGATTTCCATACCACTGTTTATTTCTTTTTCAGGCTGCAGAGGCAGCTTTCAGTTGTGGCGTGGAGGCCTTATGTCAGTCTCAGGTCGCACAGAAGGCGGAAGTTTCTCCAGAGATGCAGCTTATCAGAGCTTCAGTTGCCTTTGGACTTTATATCAAGAAATCTAGCCCTGATCTAAGAAATAAAGTCCAAAGTACAATGATTGCATTTCTCAACAGGCGAGTGGGCACGTGGGTGACTCAGCAAGGTGGATGGGTAAGTGTGTCATTTTGAATGACTTGAACATGGCTCCTTACCACGGAAGTCCAACAGCCCTTTGCACCCAAATAAGCTTCAAATGATGGCATATCTGTGTTTGCATACAGAAAACACAAACTGGTACAAACACAGTAACCAAAATGTCACTTCATTTGTCCATTCAAGTGGAATAAAACAGTAGTCAATGATACAGCATTTTATGATCAGTTTTAAATAGTGATGCAAAAATAGGATTTAGCTGACCTTTTTCCATTTTTAAGTTAATGTTCAACCAACAGTTCAAATGCAGAATCAAGTCTGTGGAATTTTAAGTTCTGCAAGGAAATATGTCATTTAGTTGAGACTATTTTAAGCGTCTGATGTTGAGTTTCATTTCTTGTAATTTCTCCTGTTTAAGAAGAAATGAATATTGGGTAAAAGTAGTTCCTTGTTTTTAAACCGTCACACCTTACTGTATTAAAACTAAAGAGAATATACTTGGTCAGGCACATGTCTTAACCACACACAACTCTAATATTACCTTGTTGGTTTACTCATCAGGAATGCATTGGACTTGTTTAACAGGACTAGACTTGAACTCACCACATTAACTTAACAGAAGAAAAAGAGGACAAGCTTCTCTCAGTTTCAATATCGTGACTGTTGTTTTTAAGTCTAGCAAAAAGTAAACAAAGAAAGATTCTGGTGTTAAACTTTGCCAGATAAGCTCAGGGTTTTACAGTTAATCTCAAATGTCTCACAGCCACAGATTAAATGCTTGTCACAGTGACTTCCTGGAGTTATAAATTCCGTCTGTACACAGAGAGAGCAGCTGTGTGCTGTGTGTTGAGTGTCTGATAAGCTTTACTCTTAGATCTACGACTGAAACTGGGGACCCATTTTTCTTTGTAACACAAATGCTTGACACAGTAAGCCCAAACAGAAGAGTGCAGCCTTTTTAATTTCATGTCTTCTTTTGCGCTGCTTATTCTCTCTGCAAAATGGTATCACTTTGATCTACATGTAAAGAAGCTATGAACTGCCGAACAGCTTAACAGACCCCACAAGATAGTTGTGTATGACTTGGATGTCCAGTTCCATTCTGTAGTAACAATCTGTAACTGTGTGCTTGGTGTCTTTCAGGATAAGGTGAAAGTTTAAGTCCAAGTCTCGCCACAGCGGATTCACACCAGTGAGAGAGGAAGCTTATTCACCAGTACAACAAATTTCACCAGCTGACCTTATTGAGCCACCTTGACTGCCTGTAATCTGTTTTATCGTGCAGGCAGACTGCCATCACACACTAAAGCCTTTTCAATCTGCTGTCTCACTAAGTTTCTGTTTCACAATCTTGCACTAAGCCAATTCTGTAGTACATGAGTCTACAGTAAATCACAATGTTGGGCGATCATGGATTTTAAAACCTGAAGTGAAATTTGATTAAATTGATTCCAGGTGTTTTTGAGAGGAAAAATTATCATTATTATCATTATCAACTCCATTATTTATCTGCTGCTGATTTTGATTGGCTGATAAATAACATCAGAAGTCATTGTGCAGAATAGGTCTTCATCAAATGTCACGCACTATAGTAGCATCATTCTTCTAAATTTACTTTCCACTATGTCAGTGTTGCACAGTACTGATGTAACTTATTCATTTTTGTGATCGCATTTGTACGTACAGTATAGATGTGCCAAGTAACAAGTAGTGACTATTATAATTTTGCACTGTTAAACAACCATATTCAGACTTTGGGATTTATGTGTATGAAATAATTTATTCAATCAGGAATGTCTCTCAGACTTCAAATCAAGATGTGTTTTAGGGCGGTTGATCAAATGAAATTGTTTGTTATTGTTTTTTTTCCAAAGCTTTATACGGGTATTTATCATGGTGCTTGAATCTTTTTATCAAGCTTAGTGGGCTTTTGTGCTAATCAGGTGATGGATGAAACATTTAAACTTTGATATGTTTTTTTTTTCATTATGCTATTTGTGTTTACATGTTACAGTTGTGATATCCAAGTTGGAACCACCAGAAAAGCACCAAAACATTTAATGTAATGTTATATGGATAGCTTTGTTTTATTTGTAGCTTGTTTTGAGGGAAAGTGCACATATTATTGTTTTGTAATTTTATAAAAACAATTTCATTAAAAAAATGTGCAACTGTGAAAATTGTGTATGACTTAATTCTGACATTAAGATGCTTATATATTTATTGTCTTAAAATATGTATTTTTAGAGACCGGCTGTGAATAAATCTCAGTTTATAACTAGTAATAATTTTTTAAGTGGTTTTAATCTGTTGGTTACAATTACAAATTACAAATTACAATTTTGAAATAAGAAGAAAATGTCTGTCACAATTCCCATCTCAGTGCAGAAAGACGAAACAAATTTTATTTCATCCGCGATTTGTCAAACCAGACTCATTAACCTGACTGTAAAAAACAGATACAACTCTGATCAATATATTTGATCTTGCTTAGGTGAAATAAACCAGGCATACAGATTTGTAAGCTTACTTGGAGACAGCAGGGTTGTGGGCTAAATGCTAACACCAGCATACTGACATGTACATTTGGGACACGAGGATGATGATGCAGTAGAGATGCAGAGACAAGTACAGAGGAGTGTATGAATCTGGTTGGTGTCAATGAAAAGTGATGGCCAAACTATTAGATTAGGACTTGATAATGGTGGAATAGAGGAAATCAGTCAAGTTACTGTCATAATTTTAAGGAAGGGCATTCAGAACTGTGCTGCCTGCAAACCCAGCTTTAAGGTTGTTTATCAGATCTATTTCTGCACTATTCCTTATGTAGAGCTACACTACAGGACAAAAGTTTGGATGCAAGATTTGTACAAAAAAGGTCATAGTTTCATATATATAATTTGCAACACAATAAACATGACTATTGTGTAAAGAGTAACTTATCAGAAGACATTTTGACTATAATTATTAGGTATTTGAGTTATTGTTGCTTAGAATTTGCTTTCTTTAAAGTAACCTCCTCTGGCTCTAACAACAGCTTGGCATATACCAGGCATTTGTTCCACAAGTTTTTAAGGTATGATCCAGGGATTGCATTCCAAGCGTAATTATATTATATTATATAATTATATATCATTAAAAGGAAACTGCTGATTCGTGGGATGCATTTTTTCTGACTGATAGATCCAATTCATCCCGCACAAGCTCAATTGAGAAAGGTCTGGAGACTGAGGGGGCCAAACCATCTTTTGAAGAACACATTCCTCTTCTTTTTTGTCTAGGTAACCCTGACAGAGCTTGGCAGAGTGCTTACAGTCATTGTCTTGCTGCAAAACAAACTTATGAGCCACAAGTCTGAGTCCAGATGGAACAGCATGGTGCTGGAGGATGGAGTGGTACTGTTCCTTCTTCATGATACCCTTTACTTCAAACAAATCTCCTACTCTATCACCTGCAAAACATCCCCATACCATGGAACTACCACCTCCATGCTGAATTGTGGGTGTAACACATGGTGCTTTCAGACGTTCACCAGTTTGTCGGACATAGACTCTGCGTTTTGAACCAAACAGTGCAAACTTGTTTCTAGTCATCATAAGTCCAATTTTTGTGAGCTCTTGCCCACTCATATCTCTTTTTCTTATTCTGTGGACGAAGTAGTGTTTTTTTGCAGATACACAACCCTTCAGACCAGCCTTTCTCAAACATCATTTCATGGTTGTCAGAGATATGGGTTTTGACCTTGTCATGTTGATTTCCTCCCTTATATTTGGTGCTGTCTTTTGCCGATCTCTCTTACTGGTGACAATGCTATGTTTATGCTCTGCTTTTGTAGTAACTCTCTTTCGTCCAGGTCTTTTTCTATCATCATAACTTCCAGGTTCCTCTAGTCTCCTCAGAGTGTAGTGGACTCCTTTGTTAAACACCTGTAGGCGTTTTGCAATTTCTCTTTCTGTGTATCCTTCTTTCCTCAATGTAAAAATCTGAACTTTTGTTTCTTTACTCAGCTGCTTCTTTCAAGCCATTTTTGGGGTAGTGTGAACGCAGTTGAGATTTATTAGGATTTTTGTTTGCAGGCTCTCAAAAGCCAAAAAGTTGAAGTGAATAATCCAAGTGTGATTTGTTTTTTTGCTTTTGCACTGAAGTTGTGACTCTTGCAAATGTTTTCAACCCTAAAACTAAGCCCTTATCTTTTACTGACATATATTTAGCAATGGTCTGTTAACATCAAGGTATATCTAAAGGTAAATTGAGTAAAATGGTGCATTTCCGTGAAAGCAACATCTGATCATGGAGTAAATACATCCCAAAATACATAAAACTCATGCTGGATTTAAAAAAAACATTGTGAACAAAAACTTGAAGTTACTCCCAACTGTTCGGCCTGTAATGGCCTTGCTTCCAAACTTTTGGCCTGTAGTGTATATTTATCTGTCTTAAAAAAGAGTCAATAAAGAACATAAGGCCATCAGCACTGTATATAGAAATATCAATCCATGTTTACATACAGCTGGTCTTCAGGACAACAACCACCCAGAGGTAAAAACTTCTTATATATTGTCAAGTTACTCATGAGAAAAGGCCTTTTATTCAGCCGTTCATCTTTAAGCTTCTGCTCACGTTCCTTCCTGAGGGTCTGGAGTTTATATCTCATCCTAAAGGGTGGAGCGAACACAGACACGCATAAAAAAGAAAGAAATGTTCATACTTTCTATCACCGTGAATTCTGGGGCATCTGCTTCATTGTCACACCACTGACATGCTGTGTCAACCTGTCACTCAACATATTTGTAAAGTAGTGTTGCCTTTTTCCATCATTTTCTACAGGGTTTATCGGTAAGCTTTCCAGGCTGCAACATTTTAATCTGATGGATGAACTGAATATGTTAAATTCAGAGGAGGGAAAACAGATTATAGAATACAAGAGATATGAGAAACGTCAGGACTGACAAATGTGTTTGGCGTAAAGATAATACTGTTGTGAAAAACCTGTGTGCATACATCCTAAAAAATAAAGCCCCTCAAAAATGAAATGTCAAATGTGAATGCAGTTTCTTCTTTTAATAAGCGGATAAATGCAAATAGGTTTTATCTTACACTCTTCATGTGATCACTCTCTGTAAGATCTACAAACTTACCACATTTAGAAACGTTAAGAAGACTTTACAACGATCAGAGGGACTCTAACAGTAATGAATCCTATTTCTTTATATCTATGCAAATATGATCAGATGATTTATGATTAGGTTTTGTATTTATTTTCAACTGGCAGTAAATGTTTTCAATACCAAAATATAGCCAGCAGAGGGCAGCACAGATCTCTTAGATCCCAACGAGGAAGTTTTGCACCTGCACTGAAAAATTAACCTGAACAGTACTGATAATACAATCACAGTTTGTGGTTATAAAGGAAAACAGAAGAGGAAACAAAGGAAAACCTCAGACCACATTTTAAACGAAATTAGGAGTTTCTCTTCCTTTTGCTGGTTAGATAGATTTTAAGAATAGTCCACAGCAAAATCCTTTTCCTCTTTTTTCCCCTGTTTTTCTCTGGTGTCGCGCTCAAAGAGCCTCAAGCTATCTGGCTGTGTTTTACACCAAGATGAGAAGGCATCTGACTGTAGACTTTCACCTCAGTGAGGAAGGTGCAAAGTCAAGGGTGCTCATAAACATGTGAGAAATTCCTGCTGACAATCTTGACCGAGCACACATTTTAAATGCCCTACAGGACAATAGCTTAAAGTTTAAAAGGAAATCAGATTGTCTTTGATTTGAAGTAATATACTGCATTTTTGCCGAGTAGATGATCACAGCCACTGCTGGGGTTACGTTGATTTCACAGAAGCAGCATCTTCCTCTTTTCAGCTGTTTAACAATCTGCACCAACTCCACACTAATTGTCACACATCACAGGGGAGAACTGAAACCGCCAGGCTTTAAGACCAGCTGGAGGGTGTATGCACAGGAGGAAAAGGAAATATGCTTAATCCCAGAAAGAGGTGGAACCCGTTCTTTCTATGTATAGGATGGATACTTCCAACGGATGCTGTGCATGCCTTTGGGTCTGAGTTTCTGTTTCAAAGTACCAAGGGACTTCTCACATGTAGTGACGCCAAGATTATGATCAATGGGCTCCGGAAAGATCTTTTATGCACTAAAGCTGCAGTTTTATGCCACAGTAACTCACCACTCACTCCAAAATGTTATAACTTGTTAGTCTGAATCTGGACAGTCATGCTTGACTCATATTCTTCTTTTCTGGTCTTTAATGCTCTCAAATAATTGACTGTCTTGGGTCTTTACAGAGCAGGCATTTCTGTAAACTCTCTTCGACTGTACAGTACAGCACAAGAACTGCTTAGGCGTTCAATGTTTAGACCCAAAATGCAAGCATTACATATTGTCCTGGGAATACAAACTTATTGTGTTTAGGAATCTGAAGTTATGTGTACAGATCAAAATGACGTATTTCTACAGAGAGTGAGCGTTAACCTTGCAGACTGTAAGGGCAGCCTATCATTTGCTTTGAGCAGGAATATTTTCCCTCTCGTTCCTTGGGATATTGCCTGTATCTCAGTTCTTTTAAATCACAGCTGAAAACGCATATGTTTGCCGTGGCCTATCATTAAATCAAACCTGAGGCCTCTAATCAACATCTTCATCATCTGCCTGTCTTGATCTTTTTTTCTCTCTCTCTTTGTTTTCTTTTAGCTCCAACCTTATTTTAGTTTTGAATGTAACTTTAAATTTGTTAAATGTCTTTTAGGCTGTTTTTACTTCTCAAATTGTGTTGAATGTTTTGCCTGCTAATTTCATGTAAAGCACCTTGAGTTGCCCTGCTGCTGAAATGTGCTATACAAATAAACTTGACTTGACTTGACTCTCTAAGGCAAGCTGGTATTAGACCATCATGGAGTGTTTTGACCTGTTTGCTTCACTCCGTTAAAGGATGGTCCGTACGACTTGTTTTATGCCATGCTTCTGTTTCTCAAACTCTACTGGCTTCCAGACTTGCAGGTGTTTTTTTCTTGGCTTCATATAGACACTGACCTTTTAGGAAAAAAAGAAAAACGAATACATTGAACTGTTGTTTTGTTTTCATATTTGTGTGCTTTGCAACCATTTTCCACAATGGTCGTGCAGACCAATGTTGTGCTGTGCTATTTCATATTGCTGGTTGCAAAAAAAAAAAAAAAAAAAAAAAAAAGGAAGAATATCAATCGATTCAATTTGGAAAATGACAGCTACATAGAGTAGGATAGTAAATTTGGTGTTACCAACCTCTCATTCCTTGGGATATTTCCTGTATCAAAATATGTAAGACATGGGCCTCGGGGAGAAAGAATGGTCATTGAAATTTTAGAGGTGTAAGAAATTACACGAACATTGGCTCTGCTCCAACAAAAAACTTATCAAAATGCAGTGCAGCAAGTTTGATGGCTGAGAACAAGGTCTCTTTAATTTAAGTTTCACTCTTTTTTTTTCCCTGCAGTGAACTGAGAAACTACTTAAAACTCAAGTACATGTTTCATCCTGATGAAAAGGTAATGAACAGTGAGCTGAGGGGTTTGTACCAGTAAGGGATGTTATGTACTTTTTAGACTCAGGAGCACTTTTAGACAAAAATGTGTCAAAATAAGAATGAATAACAACTTCTCAACCATGAAGCCAAAACAGAGCACTCTAAGGTGGCTGGCTGCAGTAAAGGTCATAGTCTGCGTCATCCATTATAACAAATGCAACACAGGTCAAACTTTAAAATCTAAAGACACACTCAATACATTTTTCTCTCAAACATTGATAGATAGATAGATAGATAGATAGATAGATAGATAGATAGATAGATAGATAGATAGATAGATAGATAGATAGATAGATAGATAGATAGATAGATAGATAGATAGATAGATAGATAGATAGATAGATAGATAGATTTATGAATTTTTCAATAAACAGGAAGCGATGGAAGTGCATTGTCTTTATCTATATACAGACGATGATAATCATGACAAACAGAATATTTGAAAACCAAGCTTCCTCTGACAATTGAAACCACCTGGTAACATTAGTCATCATAACCACTGCTGTCAGCATTTCAGATCAAAGTGACTTTATTTCATTTTGCATATGTTTAATGGAATTTTATTTTCCAAAACGACAATAGTAGTAGGTAAACCAACTGCATTGACACAATGTACACAGTAAGCCAAGGTTACTAGTGTTTTAAGTCTATCTACTGACCTTTAGAGTCACTTCACTTATTTTATTTTGTCATTATGAAAGATTAACAAAACTCAGCATGTTATTAACACTTACTTTGAGGCCCCAGCACTTGATTTTGATAAACAGTATTCACATATATCGAAGCGAACACATTTCTTTTCTATATTGTTAATGTACATCTGTAGTATTGCACAGGTTATGTTTCATTTACTTCACTGGTTAAGCAAAAGATCAACACTTAAAGCCACTATGTGAAGAGATAGAATTTTACACTTTGGCAATAGTGGTAGCTTCAGAAATATCACTGTTAGATGTTCATGAGGCCTAAAACTTCATGATAATGCTACTTTTTATTTATGACGATTTTTGTTGTGTTTTAGAGATATTGGTAAGAAACCAAACACATGCCTTGGTTATATTTAAAACCTTAATACTACTGCTGGGCCGTACAACACCAGGAATGTCCAATAACACTGTAATGAAGCCACACAACATCTTAGAGCATTTAGAGCAGACCCCGCAAAGTGTCAAGAGTTATCTTTTATTTCAGTGTAGGTAAGACATTTTAGTGCTTAATGGGCAATACATTATCAAAATCAGTCCATTGTTTGGTCACAGAATGTAGACGCACTACAGTGGTTACTATGTACCACTACACAGCTAAATATCTCCAATATGCAAGAGGCACTCAAAAACACCATCCAGTCCTCACTAAGACAAAGTTTTTGACCATAGACTAAATTGTAAGTATTCAGAGATCAGTTTGTGATTTGAACACAGCCAAAGTGTGATCTCTCAAGCAACACACTTAGTTTGAACCAGCCATCATCTGGATTGTCCAGTTTCTCCTCAGTCAAAAACCTAAAAAGTAATAACAAAATGACCATAGCTTGATCTGATTCAACACATAGTGGCTTTAAAAGCATTGGATAAAAAGCACAACATGAGAAATTACATTGAAATGTTGTACAACAGCAACACTGAAATAAAGTCAGCACACTTGTCTGATAAAGATGTACATCATGTGCGTGTTCACTGTAGATGTTGTAACACACAACACACCAGCAAGTTAAGACAGAGATCAACGAGATCATGTTAAATGTCTGTTTGTTGGGAGGGAGAGCATCAGGGTGGCCTCTGAGTTGACCTCATCAAAAATGAAAACTCCTGTTGAGGTCTTCAGTGGCACTTGTGCCGTCTGGCTCTTTCTTGTAAACAATTTAATCCTTTTACCCTTTCTCACCTCATTCACAGACTCATCTTTCATAACTTTTTCAATTTTCACATCAGCCAACTATTTTTTTCAGACTGACAAAACTTGAATAAATACTCGCAAAAAATGGCCTCCCGCCTCTGATGGATATGGCCTTGGTTGAGAAGAGTTGCTGTTTCAGTCACAGGACAAAGTGGTCTTCCACCAGCTGACATATATACAGCTTTGTGGCTCTCAGGTTCCTCTTGTGTATTTTTCCTCCCACTTTCTCTCCAGTTATCTTCCTTGTTTTAAAAAACTGTACCAAGATGCTCAAAGGGCTGATTTTCCAATGTGCTTGCTCGGTCAACAGCTGTCTGATGGCTGCTGTTAAAAAATAAATAACTGTTTACTAAGAGAGATAAGATTTATACAATAGCTCCTATTAGCATTTACATATAAATAAATCATTTTCTATACATTTAAAAAAATGTCATTAGTCCTGTTTCAACCTATTCTTTTATGTCAAATCTTAGTCATTCTAAAAGTAAACTGTATGTAATATTTAATACTGACAGGGGGGTCGTGACGACATAACATCATGGATAACACAACAAGTGAATCAGTAGAGAAAAGAAGTAGCCTCTGTGGATAATGACAGAGGAGACATGAGGATACCTGTTACAAAATAAAAGCACAGTACTGGATTGGACCATTATTTAAAAAAAAGAAAAAAACTTTCCAAACTGAACTCATCGGATAATGTGTCTACAACACTAAATCCTATGAAGCTACAGAGATAAAATAAGTAGGTCCACAGTAGAGGAGTTGAGTTTAGTTGATTCACCCAAACTTCAGTTTCAGTTCAAGTCAAGTCCAAAGTCTTTAGTATTCAAGTTTGAGTCAAGGCTGAGTCTCTAAAGAAGAATCTGGGTCAAGTTCTGATTAGGTCCCTTTTACCTGAGCTCAAATCTGTGTCAAGTCCTCATTGATAACACTATTTGTTATCAAGACGACTGCTTTATGTTTTTATGGTACGAACCTGGCCTGACTTTTATCAATATGAGATTCTGACTTATCTGGTTGACACGGTTTGAGATTTGAATTAGCAACAAATTACAGCCCTGCACGTCATGTTTCAGGGCATGAGCATCGTGTTTAATGTACACTGTATCAATCCTGCTGTGGTGGAATTACTGCAGGTGTCTGAATTAATTCAATAATACCTGCAGCCTGTGATTGATCAGAGTGTTGACCACTCAATCATCTCAGACTTCGTGGTGAGGTCAACATTACCTTTAGGTTGGTTTTTGTTGTTGTATTTTTAAGCAATTTTTATGCACATTTTTGCCTTTACTAGACAGAACAGCTGAAAGAGACAGGAAATGTGGGAGCAAGGAGAGTGAGAAGACCTGCAGCAAATGATCTTGAATTGGAGCCTAACCAGCAACTGCTGTGACGAGGACAATAGCCTCTGTTCTTCTGTCATGATTAAACTTCGAGGACATTGGCATCCCATTGTTAGCCTGTTACCATAAACATAATCAACAGTCCAAGTCTTATGTGCATCCTGGACGGTTGTAGTGAGGTCTCAGTCTCCTTGATGGTCCTTTTACACAACTGGCATGTTGACCTGCAATTGCTGTACAATCTTTATCACAACGCACAATCTATCCTGTAAAAAGACTCTGGCAGGAACTGTTACAAAGTCAACTATACTATTATCACTATAAGGGTGACCATATTCTGACTTCCCAAAGAGAGGACTAGACTACACAGGGGTGGAGTCACAGAGTCTCACAAAATTCATTTTGAGAGTTACTCGGGTTGGATCGAGTGTCTTTCACGCGCTCTCAAATTAGTAAGTCTACTGTAAAACTGCAGACATTTAAAGGATTTTATAAACTTACCCGGACAAAGCCAGACAAACCCGGATAGCCCAAGTAACCACCAAAAAAGAGGACATGTCTGGGTAAAAGAGGACGTATGGTCACCCCAATCACTATCACTAAGTAAGACGAAGTACCCCCCCTCTACCTTCTAAGTCATATGGTTGAGTCTGGCCCAAGTCATCAATACTCCAGTTAAAGTTGAGTCACAAGTCCTGAAAACCATGAGTACTATAACACTGGTTTATAGATTTTTATCACTGTCTTTACTCACAGCTAATTAATAAAGTCTATTTATTGTCTTGTCTTATGGCACAATGCTGCTTTTCTGTAAAAATTAGAATCTAGTATCAGCCATTCAGTCAGACAAATGGTCTTAATAATGAAACAACAATGAACTCTTCACAAGCCCTTGAAAGCACCTCATTACCATTAGCACACTAATCCATGCAGCCAGAGAGAGAGACACAGTAGGTCCTGTGTCCTGGTCAAATTCAAAACACTAAACTAGCTGAGTACCACTGTAGATTCACACACCACAATGTCTTAGATCCTCTTCATTATGTGTTTTCTCCTTTAGGCCAAACAAGCTTCTAAATCAAGAATGTAATGTGATTTTTAACAGTTTGAGCTTATTCATATGACGAGAGCAAAGAGTTTCAGTACAGGTAATAAAAAAAACAACAACAAAAAAAACACACAGCATATACTGCTACTGTTCTGCATGTGCTACAGATATACTATATACTTATTAATTCAAGCTCAACAGGTTGATGTTGAAATTGATGAGAAGCCCCTTTTCCCATATGACATCAAAAAGCCAGTGGACAAATTTATCACTTTTTTTTTACAGAGTCTGGTCTGGGATGTTTACCCCATCTCCATGCTGCCATGTCTACCTGTCCTCTTTGATTGCATAAGACAGAGTGAATCAGACAGTCTACAAAGGAGTTCCTTGACCTTTAACCTCTCTGACGTCCTTCAAGGCTATTTGGCCAGTAATTCCTCAGGCATTCAAAAAATGCCCAGTCTTTTCCATTCTGTAAACCAGAGGAGTGAAACGTAGAGGTAATATAGCAATCCATAACATTTCCAGATGTCACACATCATCGTCATCATCATCATTTTGCCTCAGCCTCCTCTCATGACTCTGTCCTCTCTGGCTCCCTCTTTGAGGGAGGCGGCCAACAGGGTCCTGACAGAGCACGTACACTTTCCAGATTTTCCTGAACGCCGTACGGAATTTCTTGATGCGGAAAGCATACACAATGGGGTTGACAGCTGAGTTGCCGTGGGTGAGGATGATAGCGATGTAAATTAGGAATATTGGTTTGTCACAGGCAGGACAAAAGAGGGTGATACAGTTGAGGATGTGAAGAGGGAGCCAGCTGACAGCGAAGAGGAAAAGAACGAGGGCCAGGGACTTGGCGAGTTTGAGTTCTTTGCCATAGTAACGGCTGGGGTCTGTGTGGCTGGCTGTCACCTACAGAGAAATAAAGGAGAAGATCATCAGTGTATGAATTTAGCTTTGGTGCAAGTAGTTTTTTATGACTGGACAATCATCCTATTCAGATCAAACAATCAAGAGAAGCAGTTCTCACCTTCTTGTTGAGCTGTTTGTGGATCATGTAAAAAATCTCTGCATAGATGGCCAGCATGAGGAGCAGAGGGGGCAGCACCCAACCAAAGAAGTTGAAGTAGACCATGTAGTCCATGCTGATGACCGTCTCAAATTCGCAGGTCACCAGGAGGTCATCAGTGATAAGGGAGCCATTGTTATGTAGATGCTGCAGGTTATTCCAGCCCAACATGGGCGTCAGGCCCACTATGATGGACACCAGCCAGCACAATAACACAGCCGTGCCAGCTCGCCGCGGGGTCACTACCCGCTTATAACTATGGAAACAGGGGAGAAGATTGAGAAAAAGTCTCAGTGGATAGAAAAGTCATTTGTTTGCGATCTGTATTTTTCCATTTTATATCCAATTTAAACAAGTAGTGAATTCACTCTAACTTCAAATTCTCTATTACAGTTTTAAGTTTGAAAGTATTCTAATAATGAAAAAGATGATTGCTGAAATATTGGAAACAATAGTTTAGATTCACCCAACACAGTTATACAAATCAGTTTTAACATAACTATACAAAGACTCCTTTTGTGAGGCCTGGGATGTTAAATTTCTGCAGTGATTGAATCACAAAGAGTTCCTTCAATAGTCAAGGACAAGATTTCATAAAAATCCTTCTGTAACCACAATCGGTTACAGAGAGAACTGTACATACAGACACATGGTAAGATTAAGAAAACGAATAACTATTATTTTGGTGTTACATCATTGACTATATTCATAGAAATATGGACTCCTGTTGCAAAAGTGAAGCCTACAGGTTAGGTTGTTTCAAACCTGCATTCCTTAAATGGGAGACTTCACTGGTTTCAAATAGAGATGTGATTTAATATGAACATACAATTTAGACTGCAGTGGACTGCAGAGAACAAAATTGACCCTCAATGCTTAATTTCCCTAAACTCACATTCTGTCAAATTGCCAACAGGAGCCTTCTACACCGGCAGTAAAAGTATGAGTCTACAGAGTCTGTGAGGAAAAGACTCTGATTCTTGGTTGATTAATCATCTCAGCAAACATTTCTCTAATGAGCTTTATGGCTTCAATGGCTGGTTTATGGTTGGTGGTAGTGTTGTAAATAATAATCCCATCCAGAGGTAAATAGTTATTAAAGCAGGGCTACCTGTGATTATCAAGTCTCTGTCACAGCAGCCTGTCACTCTGGATAGATACACAGAAATGCTTTTTTAACCAATCCTCCAAATAAGGCCTTTTCAGGCTTAAAACCCAAAGATAGTAACAGACATCAGGTCATGTCTTGTCTTTATACATTGCATGAGTAATAGTAATTAAAGTGGAGGAGGGTCAAAGGGACCATAAACTGGATCAATAATGTCTGTCATTGATCATCATTACCTGAAAGAGCACATTACATCACTGCATGATGAGAGTGCAACTGTGACAAACACATACGTTTTCATTAGTATTTCGAAAAGGTAGGCTGCACAAAGTGGAGGAAATCAAAATGTTAGATTTTGTCTTGGATTCTTGGATTCCAGGCACTGAGTGTATCTCTACAGCTGAATCCTTAGCCAACTATGCAACTGGAGGGACTATTTTTCTTTTTCAGCTGAATCCACAAAACAAAATGAAGTCCTCTTAAATAAATAGTTTGTGATAGCTTTAGTTTTTAAGGTGGATTTTCCCCACCTTCAGTTTAACACATTATCTCTGACTCTGTAATGATTTTAACTGAGTAATGGCTCCTGGTCATACCAGACCAAGTATGGCTGTAACAGGAAATCACTGTCATACTGATTAAATAAACTGGAGCATTTATATTCCTGTTAAAACTGTTTATTGTTTCATTTGCAAAGTAAAAATGTATCTTTCATCAGTAAGAAAATACTTGTAATGAGTAGAACTGTTTCTCTACAGAACTTTATCGCTCTACAGTACATGATATTGAGGGCAGCAGGACACAAAGCTTGGCTGATCTCACTCCCTTATTTAAGCAAACTACTGTAGACACAAGCAAGACATATCTGTGCTACAAAACAGCGAAACTGTGTGAGTCTTTGCCAAGCATGACATTCTGCAATCCTCTGAGCGTCGCTCATCCTGTCACTCCCACAAAACTGTCTTCAATTGGACAGTTTCATGAATTAGTCATTGTCAAACGGACATGATGGGTCTCTGTGGTTGTCTAGTCTTAGTTTTACTCTCACTTTCTGTCACTCTTCATTTGCTAAAAAACCTCTTTGCTTTCATTTCCAGTGGGATTTTAACCCTTATCTCCATGCTGTAAATTTCTCCCTCCATCTAAGCGCACTTGTAATACTTTGAACATCTGCCAGTCTTACACCCACCAACCTTATCATGTCAGTGTGCCTGCACTATAAAAAGCAATCAGTGGCTGTTAAACTGTGTGCCTGCAGAATCTCAGGGGGGGTTCAGGGACAGGGACACATAATCACCCACTGTACCTATGAGACAGTGAAGCTGCTGTTTGTAGTCTGAGCATGTCCACATAAATTTATGCATCAACATTGAATCAGAAACGGTGCAGAGGGACACTTTGTTAAATTTGTGAGTCTTTCAAATATGCCTCTTGCTTGTTTTTAGGTGGATGGAAAGCATCTGACCACTCTTCTTGCTGCTGATGCCATTAATGGAACCTGATAGATAAGATTCAAACACTTTTTCTGTCATTTACCTTGTGAAAGTAAAACTGCTGCTTCATATGTTAACCACTGTCTGCAGTGAAGGGCTGAGAAACACTGTGACAGGATGATAAGTAACAGAAAAACCTGTAATAGGATTAAACAACACAACATAAAGTGGTTTTTTTTTCATCACAAGCTCTGTTAATTGTCCTCTCTGCAACAGAGTGTAAGTGTGTATGTGTGTGTGTATGTTTGTGTGCTGCTTTCTAGCTTGAAAAATTATGCAATCCATCAGCCAGCCACCATGAGCCCATTGACCAGTCATGCATCCTCAGCCCGACTTGTTCCAGGGTTTTTGTTAAATGAACCAACGTAAAGTGGAAACTTGAGCTTTCAGTTAAATAACAGTGAGGCAAGACAAGAGGAATGATGACAAGCTCCATGGATTTGAACATCCCTGTTACCACGCAACAATGCCAACGCCGGGATTACACCATGTGAGATATCAACAGACCAGCTTAAAGGAATCAAGACATAAGAGCTACCTCCACAGGCGTCCACGTTAAACTCAGGCTGCAAAGTCAGCATCTGACTTGTGTGAAATTCAACAGCTCTTAAAAATGTCTTGAGCTTTTATGGGACCTTTAGCATCCCAGGTTATGTCCCATAATTCACACTGAATTACTTATTTTTATTCAAATAAATGTCTGAAAATACCAGGACAGCCTCCATGAATTTCTGACTTTTTTAACAACTGTCAGGCACAACATAAGCAGATCATGAAATTATGTATAAATCTAATGGAAATGTAGAATCAAAAGGATTTTTGAAAATATTTTACCTATTATCCTCATTGGATTATAATTTTATAGGGAAGTTTAGAGCCAATTTTCACTCTTTTGTGAAGGGCAGTGGATTGAAAATTAAGAGGAAATCAACAAATGAGTCAAATGAAGTTGTGGCAAATTTCAGTGATAATATGGCCTAGACTTACAGATCACTCACTCATTTATCTCCGACACTGTTATTTTCAATAGAGAAATTGCAGATTGAATTATCCTCGGTGAATTAATGTCACCTTAACAAAACATTTCACGGTCATTTGGGGTTTTATAACTAAAAATCACTGTGAATAGAGCTCACATGGGTGGGTGCCCTTGGTCCAGGCAGCGGTCCAGACACAAAGGCTGGTCTAAGTCAGACATGATAAGAAAGTAGAAGAATTCACCTTTGTGCCTACCTCATGGGGATTTTGACGCGCAGATAGCGGTCGATTGCGATGGCCAGTAGCGCCAGGATTGAACTTTGTGTGAGGACGAGCACCGTGCAAGCGACCAATAGACAGCTGTAGAAGTGCGTCTGGAGTCCGATGCTGATGGTTATGGCGAGCGGGATAACAAGAGCCCCGACTGCAATGTCAGCCAAGGCCAGGGAGACGATGAAGCAAAACGTGGTGTCCCTTAAAGACCGGTTGATACGCACAGCTAGGACCACCATCACGTTCCCGATGACCGAGGACACCGCGATGACCACCTCCATCCCGATGTAGAGGGCTTTGGAAGGAGGCAGACCCGCAGACATGATCACAGATGCTTGGAGGAGGAGTGCGCGCTCAGCGGAGAGACAGCCTGGATACAGTGAGGGAGTTCCCTGTTTGACTTTGAGAGACACCCCGACTTCTGCTCCGCATGTTTTATGTCCCCACAGAGGTAGAGGTGGTGTCAACTACTCTGAATTACTGTAGGATCGGGTTCAGGACGTCGAGGTGCGCGCCTCACGCAGGAATTGGTCTCCATACGGTCCTGAGGCGGTGATTCCGGCGAAGAAGTAGCCCCTGCAATCCTGCTGGCGTGGGGACAGGACGGACCTGGTGGGATACTGAATGAGTCACAGACAGGTTCTTAAATCGCGGATTAACAGAGCTGCTTTCTCTCAATGCCGGTCATGTGTCAAAGACCCGAAAAATAAACAGAATAAGTCCCAAAAAGTGTCATTTTCTGTTCAAAATGAGTCACCCCGTCCCTTCAAATTCAGACGTGACTTTCTCCGTCTACTCCCGGCAAATGTTTGTCTTCAGAGGAACTATTTATTCCAGGGAAATAATCACACTTGAGATGAGGCATCAGGGAGTTCAGATTGATATCAAAACCTTCCATTCCTCATTCTGCGAAGTCGCGAGAGACCGACAGCTCTCTCTATAGGACACTGGGTCCAAAGTAGCAGAATACCATTCTCTCATATAACAGGTGCATCCCAAAGCCAAGGTCAAAGACTTACTAAAATGAAAGTCACACCAAATGTGTCACAGGTTCTCACTCGTTTTACTCCTATAGGATAAAAATACTGGGATAATAATTAACCACAAGGTTTTACAACGTGACAGGAAAAGACATTTAACAGGGGTGTGTCCAGAGGGTGGCCAAGGGTGGCTATGTAATCCCCCTGAAATCTGATTGGACATTCCAATGAACAAGATGGGGAGACAGGGACCATATATACAGTGGGTAATGAGACAACGAGACAGGTGAGACAATAAGACATGGGTGCAGACAATCACTGGGGAGAGAAAACCCAGGAAGTCAAACTAAACTAGACACACAAGGAGAAGAAACTACGAAATAAAAAAGGAATCACAGAAAACTAACCACAGGAATAAATATACACCAAAAACACAAAAGAAGAAAAAGAACAAAACCACAAGAATTAATCATGACAGCTAGTTTTCTGTTTTTAAATTTTTTTTTCTCATTTTGTCTGAAACTGTGACCTTGGACAAATGTCCTTTTGTAGATCTTTTTTTTTTTAGTTAGAAAGTAATCTTTGAGATTTTAAAGTTGTATTTTTGTGTATGCCTTTATTCTAAGTAGACAGGACAGGGGCTGATGAGCAAGAGTGGAAAGGGGCGTGCAGGGATCAGGCTGCAAGTTGGAATCAAATTTAGGTTGCCACTTGAGGACTATCAAATCCATACATGGGGTGTGCCACTTCAAGGGATACTCCGGCGTAAATTAAGTTAGGGTCAAACATACAGTAACACAGAGTTAGACACCCCATCGAGAGATGAATGTTGTCGACTACTTGCTTCTCCAGTTATACCAACTTTAGTAATGACCGCATGATAGCAATACAGAAAGCCACACGCTTAACCAAAAAGCCACTTTATAGCCACAAATAACGCTCAGAACAGCACCTAACTTCATCAACAGTACATATAGGGTCCCAGCCATAGTAATAGCCACCAAACATCCTTTTAGCTTTGCCTAATTTCTTTGACAAAGAGACTAAACACAACTCACCCGCGCTCTTCCAGCAGCTGCTTGTTTTTACGGAGACCTCCGGGTGGGTCCATAGACTTCAGTGGGTTGACGCAGCTCAAGGAAGAACATTTATGATCATTTCTTCATGGAAATGAAATCAAACCAAGATGTTAAGGCAGAAGAACTACCGCGTCTGCAGTGCAAAATGATTAACATGACGATTATTACTTCAAGGAAATGATAAAGAAATGATCATAAGGATGGACTCTGACAAGCGGCTCCTGGAAGAGAGTAGGTGAGTTGTGTTTAGTCTCTTTGCTAAAGAAATTAAACAAAGCTAAAAAGATGTTTGGTGGTTAGTACTATGGCTGGGACCCTATATGTACTATTGATGAAGTTAGGTGCTGTTCTGAGCATTATTTGTGGCTATAGAGTGGCGTTTTGGTTGAGGTTTGTGTATGGCTCCTCAGACCGCTGTGTATTGCTATTGTGCGGTTGTTACTAAAGTCGGTATAAATAGAGAAGTAAGCGGTCGTCAACATTCATCTCTCGATGGGGTGTCTAACTCTGTGTTACAGTGTGTATGACCATAACATAATTTCACACCTGAATATCCCTTTAACCACAACACCAAATCAGCACCTTGTTGTGTTACTTTTGGGAGCTGGAAATATAGGGAAATAATGTTTGCTTTTATAATGCCTTTTAAATACTGGCAAATCAACAGGTTCTCTTAAATAAATAAATGTTATTCAGCCTTGAGTCATCTAATCAGATTTTAGGGACTGGTCACCCCAGTCCTAAAAGTCTGGCTCAGTCCCTGTTTAAAGTCTCCTGTAGTCGAGGTCTGAAATAAAAATCAGCGGAAGTGCTTGGTCTGTTAAGCTTTGACACTTGAGATGGACAGAATGGAGCTGGATGAAGACAAACAGTCCCACGCTTTTTGTTGGAGGGAGACAGTAAAACAATCCTGGATGACATCATGTTGGTATCAGTGAGAAACAGCTAGACAGATGAACACAAGCAAGCTGATATACATGCAAATAAGTCTCCTAAAGAAGTCACCAAAAGACATGTAATTGCGTGCGCATGGGAGGCATGCACACACAGTACTGCGCAGATACAATGCATTTGCATTTTGATTAGTGGATGTATTTGAATAGACACTTGGTGAAATTTCTTCTGTCAGGGCGGCCAAACACATCAACAATCTAAACTGATCAGCACGAGGGCCTCTCTTTTCACCTTGACCACAGTGAAGGTCTTCCCCCTGATGATGATTAATGTTTATCTCCATCCTCGTTCATTCAACCTTCTGTTGAAGAGTCCTCCCTGACTGTCATCAAGCCTACAGATTCATTTTACTCACTGTGGATGAAAGAGTCTAAACCAGGGGCACTTAACCTACTGCAGAGAATCCACAGAGAGGAGAAGCAAGAGGCTTCTGAAATCATCTGACTTTATGATGTAAAAATGTGCAACCTTGGAAAGGGTGCTCACACATTTTCAATGGTAAGAGCCTGATATATTCCATTAAAGTCCACATGTGAAATACAAACTGCAATATTTACAAACAGAGATATGTATCTGACTTTTATTTATATAAGAAACTAGCTAAATTCAAACTTCCATATGGCACTTATAGTTGCACAAGTTGTGTTTGTTGAGTGATTACATCTGCTGGTTCAAGTTGTTATCAGTCTGGCTGCATGAAGGGGAACTTGCACAGAATGTCAAATAGTTTATTGTTTAGCAGTCACTACAAGAGGCAAGAGGTGCCACTGTCTTTGTGTATTGATGTGTGTAAAATCAGTTCAGATGATTATCAAAATGACAAGTTTCTCTTTATCAGTAAGAAGTAAGTACAAGTGGAAAGAGTCAGTGGTAACAGTACATGAGCCACAAACTCATCGCATTTCTTTACCAGCATTGTGACAAAGTTCTGCCATCATTACATCTGTACTTAAAAATACAGCTCTGCAACTGTGTAATATTGATGTACCAGCACATATTTTCAGTCATTTACATGCACAGTTAAGTAAAGCTGCAGTTAAAGCTCGATTAGGCAATTTAATTGAACTGTCCAAGTCCCAGTTTACAAGTACTGAGCAAGAATCAAATTATAAGCAGAAGCCAATGGTGATCATTGAGGAACCTAAAAAATCAACAAAATACATTCGCAAGAGAGAACTTTTACAGCTTTCTATCTTTTGTTCGTAAGAAAGAACACATTTTTTATGACCTTTTTAAGCCAGTCAAGGTTTTATTCTCAACCAGCTTTCTAGTAACACATTTATGCTATTCAACTTCTGGCTCAAAGCCCAGCATGCGAACCCTGGAGCATGTGCCGAACGCTTAAGGTAGTCTCAGTACGATTGAGCCTTATACATGGAAAAGAAAGTCAGTGCCATCCACATTATCCAGGTATGTTAGTCTATGAGAAGTTTGATTCAGTGCAATTTTAGTTAAGACTAATGTGTTTGCATGTAATTAAAAAGTCCAATTTCAGTCAGACTAATGCAATAAATCATGTAGGTGTACTTATTGTGTCAAAGTATTGCACAAGCTCCAGAGCCACAGCATATAGCACACAGAAGGAACTCATTGTAGGCTACACATGCTCTTAGACAAAGCACAGACAGGGGCAGAGCTAAGGGGTGGCCATGAGCTGGTCATTTGTTAGAGCCCATGATGAGTATAGTGGGCTAAAAGCGACGTGACCCATTGGTTTTTGAAGAATTAAGAGGTTATGAAACTGAAAAGTGCTGGTGGACTTAGGCCCCAACTACACGAATGCGGATATATTTCAAACCGCACATATTTATGTCCGATTAGGCCTCCCTACCACACCAAAACGTGAGTTTGGAACACTCAAACCGGATAAATCTGAATCCGAAAAAACAAGTGGAGAAATAAAAAAATATCCCTATAAGTGGATTTGTGTGGTTGAACTTTAACGAATCGATGACGTCAAACCGCAGCTCGCGCATGTGAATTAAAAAGAAAAACAACAACAACAATGGCGGACATACAGGGTATTCTTTACGTTTGTTTTGCCCTTTTGGGGCTGATTTTAGCCTTGCAAGTGAACCTTGTTTTATACAATTACATCCACCAGTCAGCCTGTCAGAATAATGTGTATAAATGTATATAGAAGTTATCATCTTACTCAAATTCTTGTGTAAGAGTTTGCTACAAGTATGAACTGTTTTAACCTCTTGTTTCACATCATATAAGAGTGTTTTCTAACTTCTCTCTCCAATAGCTTTATTACACAGCACATGAGTGTTTCTTAACTTCTCTGACCTTGTTTCTCCTATCAGCAGGTATGTGTGTGATGTAACCTCCACTGTGAATGGTGGGAAGTAATGAGGATCCACTCCTATCAGAAGGAGCTTGTTTAATGTCAACAATGTTGCCTTGACCCTCACATATTTTCTGTTGTTCATAATTATGCTTTATGAGAGTGCTTACGTTGCTGCAGATAGTTTTCCCCCATCCTTTAGTAACATTGTGTAACCAGGGACAACCCTAAATAAAAGAGACTGGACAGAAATACCTTCAGAATGGTTTTGAGATTGTAACTGAAACTATCTCTGTCCATTCTCCTCGAGTAAAAATCTAAACCATTGTCTTTCTCTTCTTTATGTGTTTTCAGTCATTTGGGCAGGTTTAGACCCAACACAGCCACACCGTCACATGGACCCGACGCACTAGCGTAGCTTCCGCAAACAATGCATGACGCATCATGCTGTTACGATTCATCGGCCAATCAGGTAGCTTTGTTCCTGATTTTTTTTTTTTAAGTGGCACCAGATAGGATTGAGTTTGAAGGCTATGTGTGGACGCAGATATTTTTGAGAACTAACAAATGTGGACAGATACATTTATTTAGACAGGAGTACAAAAATATCCTGATAAATAAATATCTATATACGTGTAGCCCGGGCCTAACTGGGATGCTTTTTTCCAGCACCCTTCTGACTAATCCACAATGTGATGAAGAGGTGAAGGTAAAGCCATGGTCAGGCTTCCCGGCAGCATCTACATCATCCGCCAAGTCATCTGTGTCTGTTTTCTGTAATGTGGATCCTGGCACTTTAAGATGAGCTTTGACAGGGATCCATCAGCTTTTTGAGCCAGCCTCAATTTGGACACCGGAGGACCTGCAGCTTCAGCACTTCCACTTTGACTCAATTTTTACAATATCAAAGGACAGGTTGCTGTCTGGCTGAGATGGGGATAATTGTTTGTGTGTACTTTCTCTACGTATTAAGTTGATCTCAGTTGTAAAGCACAGGATTAAATGTGCATGTGTTATCCATTTAGTATCATGCATAATGAATTGCACATTCAGCACCACTGAACCTCTCTCTGATGTAGTATAATCCATCATGTAGTTAGGTCAAAAATCATTAGCATCCGCTACCGACAATAAATCACAGTTTTGCGGTAGATGGCTTGTGTGTGGTTGGACCCACTGCTCTCATTTTTATAAAACCCAATTGGAATATTATCCAAACATTATTGAGGGTGTTTGGTAGCCTAATCATTATTCTGACAAATAATAAGACATTTGAAATATATTATTTTGTCAAATTGAAACGTGCGTGGCATGGAAGACTGAACTGCATCATATTTTTTAAACAATGCTTACTGTGTGTGAATGTAACGTATAGCTGTATTTCTTCCAGGCAGTTTTAGGGTAGTCTTTATCAGTGGTCTTCCTCTCTATGACTCTTCTAATGAGGTCATTTTTTAAATTGTTGAACAGATGGACTGAAACATCTGAATGATGCAAATACTGAATGCTGTAATGTTTTCCCATTTATCAGGGTTAAAACATAAACATTGTGCTCCTGTCATCCCTCATTGCATTGCAGATCGTCATCCGTCTA